GGGGGGGGGGGGGGGGGGGGGGGGGGGGTGTTCTTCACCCTAACGGAATTCCATGAATCATCAACAACAGTAGTGGTGGTCTTGTTAGATTAAGTCTCAAAGCATACATAAAATAACTTTCGTAGGAAACACTATATATATACCGTTACTGAAGATAAAAGATTTGAGTTCTTAGGGAGCTCTCAAAAGTAAAATCTTCAGCTTGTACAATGACATTGCTTTGTTACTCCAAATAACCCATCTACCATATGAAATCTGATTAAAAGAAAATAGATATTTATGTCTCAACCTCATATCATACGAACTTCTAGAGGACTGCACCAGATACTCAATGTATTAGTATTTCACAGAAGTATCCTTTGGTTAATTCCAAACCAGGCTGAGGTTATGCCTTTACCATCATTTTAACGTACAGCAGACAGCAATTCATTCACTTTTAACCATAAGTTAAGCTTCTACCACTACAATATGAAATGTCATTCCACTTAAGGGAAAAGACTAACCGTATAACCCTGCTGGATGAGCAGGTGTTGCAGCAATAATATTCTGCTCCTCCTCTGTTAGGACCTGGTCAACATCAATAATAGATTATAGAAATATCAAAGTGATAGTTAGATGGGAACAGGGGCACTCAAATGACTGAGTAGAATTAATCATAACGAAATCCTAGAGGCAATGTTGTCAGGAGAGTGTCCACAAATGTGCCCTTAGCTAGCAGATTTAGTGCTTCAGTTTCCAGGATATCAGATTTGAGATGAAGAACAGGTACTGTACAGCCGAAATCATCAGTTGCAACATCATCTCGAACCTCTTCATCAGTTGCAATGTCAGTTAAGACGTCAGTATTTATGGAACATCTAGAACTAAAACTTCCAACCCTGCATTAAAAGAAAAGAATTCAACAACTCTTGCATTATATCACATTATTTTTCCTCTGTTTGATTAGTAGTAAAGTAGATTGACTTTCCTCAGGCACTTGATCTCTGATGATCAACAATGACCACACTATCCTATACGAGTGCTACATTCTTTGTCCGAATACCAAAATTGGACCAAATTTAAGCTATTTATTGGGGAAAAGGGGTAAAGTCACAATGTCCACACGCAGATATACAGTACCAAATCAGTGATTCAGAATGTCAAGAGCTTAAAATAAAAGCATAAAGGTGGCACCTTTGAGGGGTAAAGCGAGGAGGAGTTAACCATCGACGAGAAGAGAAGCAAGGGCGTATTCTAAAGGAAGACGACGACGTAAACGGAGCTTGACGAACAGCAAGGAAAGCGTGAGAAACAACAACCGCCATGGTTTATTCAACTGCTTCACAACTTTGAAGCAATGGATTTCTTCTACCGATACTTCTCGGTAACTACTCATGCAGCCCGAAACACCTAGCTGGTAAATCCTAGGGTTTTGGTTTTGGTCATTCGTCTGGAGAGAATGTGTGGATAATGGATTTGGGGAAATTTCAGAGGAAATGGATTGGTGGTTTATCTTCTGGTTTGATTAGGAAGAGGAGGAGACGGACTACTCAAAACTCTCACAAATGGACTGCCTCAGACCAGAATTTTGGCTGCTGACGTGTTTTGATTTTGCTCCAAATGCTGTGCCACTTGACGAAAACTTTTGGAAACTGTTGGCTCGTGTTTGTTCCTTGACGAAAATTGTTCAATTGATCCCTAAACTGTGGTTGGAGTTGTGAAATTTTCCCCACAGTTTTAGTTTCTTCTCTTTTCGTCCTCAATTCCTTACACTTGCCCTTTTTACATATCTTTTTTTTGTGTGTGTGTAACTGTGTATGTTTTCCCCTCTTAAAATATATACTTACCTATTGTTTGTTGTTATTGGTGCCCCCAAACAAATCCAAGCTATTAAATGCAAGGATTTTAGAGTCCGAAACAGAAAAAGAATTCACCTATTACATTTTACGGTATTCCGTAAATAGCTGTCTTTTTTACATTTATTATTGTAATATGCACTATATATCAGTAGTTGTTGGATATTCCATGGCTGAAGATGCTTCTCATAAAAAATTATCATAGAGCATTAGTGTTGGACGCAATAAGTAAATTCGAGCTTACTCTTATATTTGAAATATATAGTAACATTTGTGATATATGACATACCCAATTAAAATCATAAGCAAAATTAGGGATAAAAGGTAATATAATAAAGGCTCACATAGACGGAATGAAAGTGCTTTCATCTTTCGTGATATATTAACACACGA